TCTCGCCCACAGTCGGCGCATCAAGCGTTACGGAGATCAGAGTCGATACCCTTTAGATGTCTTGCAGCAAGATGTATGATCGTGTCTGCCCACTGTGCGTCGGACTGATTCGAGCCGTTTATCACAGAATATTGTCAAATCGGCCACTATCGCAACGCCGCGCTAATGCATCCACAAGGGGTGCACATAAGACACACCAACATACACAATGAAGATCTCGGGAGTGGTAGGTTGCATGTGGGTTTGGAACCGCTACATGTGGTTTTGGAACCACCGCATGGCCATCCAACGCATAGTCCAAACCGTTGTGGCCACTTTGGTTCATCAGCAAAGTGAAATACGTAAGCGTCCCTGTTGTGCCATAGCTACTTGGCTCCAACAACAGGTTCCTTGGAAACTCGTAACAAGAAGTATCTGTGTACGCCCATCGGCGACATGAGTTGTCGCGCGCGCGCGTGCTCCGCGCTCGCTCGCGCGAGATCCCAAGACGCCCCCATGGCCGTAAAATGGTTCCAAGAGGGCCTGAGGCCACAGACGGCAACGTCCAGACGACCCTGGGATGACGCCACCCCAGCACGATCCCGCCATGGATTCTGGACCGTCCCAGGCCGATTCGAAGATGACAGAACAGGAACCATGAGTGACGCCGAGATGGCCCGATGGCAACAAGATGGATCCACGCGCGCCCAGTGTGGCCCCAGAATGAACACGACGGCTGCGCGATCCAAGCATGACCAAGACTTGATATCAATCTGATCTCAAGACGACCCTGACATGCCAGGAACGTTGCAACTTCGGAGCCGCATCTTACTTTGGAAAGATCTCAGCATGGCGGGATCCGTGGACTACCAGGGATAATTGCTTACCCTGTTTTTAATGTGTGGGATTTCAGCCTGGCTGAAATCAAATCATAATATTACAGGTGAGTAAGCTAGGTGGGATCCTGCCCGGCCCACGGGAGAAGACTACATTGCTAGGCTTCTAAGGGGGAGGGGATTTCGGGCAAGGCGTCATTTACTTCCGCTGTCTTCCGCAAGCCTTCCAACGGCCTTCCAACGGCTTCCGCTAGCGGGAGACTTGACGAACATCCAAGGCTTTTTCATTGGGCCGATGTAGTAAATCCTGGCTCGGGGTCCTGATCTCGAGATTCTTCGCCGCTGACCCGAACTCGCATCCAGTGATCTCCTCAGACCGGCGACCAGCGGGGAGCACAGGAGGTCGTGAGCATGCGGGTAAACACCAAGGAGTGTGTCCTTGCCCGTTTCTCGACCGTCCTTATGGCAAGGCTTGTGTTCTTTTGCGTTTTGTTATTGCTTGGCACGGGGTGTCGCCTCGCACGGTGAGGGTTCCAAGTGGCCCGACGCATCCGAATGTGTGTCCGAGCCGCCGTACTCGACGGTGTTGCCCGTGTAGCGTCGCCTTTCGCCGCGAGCTGCACCCAAGCCCGCTAGGGACCGCCAGCCGCGTGCATGGACGGGGCAGCTTGGCAGCCGGCGGCCGCTCTATGAGCCGCAGGCTGGCGGCTCGGCATTCGCAGCCGGACCAACGCCTCAACGGAAGACCACAAGCCTTCGGCCCTCGAACCGCGTGCAGATCTTCGTTGTTGCTCTACATCGGCCCCGTTGCGTGCCCGACCTCCGGGCACGGTGCGGCAGAGCGGGGCGAGGCTGGTCCCGGCTGTGCCGCCGCAGGCAGAGCCCGGGGGTGCGACAGCGGTGGCATGCATCGCCATGGAAAGGGGGTCTCTTGGCATCGCTCGGACGTGTGCACGTTTCTCGGCGAGGACCATCGAAGAGCACCCCGGATCATCGAGCGAACAAAGAGAAAACACGCACGAAACAGAAACATGCACGGGGAGTGGACGTTCGAGCCATGGCAAAGGTGTGCGCGGGCGGTGGCATGCATCGCCTTGGAAAGGGGCCTTGGCTCTCCTCTTAGCCCCTGAGGGTGAACGTTTTCTTATTCGGCGTTTCGACATTGTGTGGAAGGGGGGGGGGAGGGGGGGCGTCTTGCTCTGGACCTCTGCTTAATGTGAGTGTTTGCAACAGTGCGTCCTATGGGAGAGAGACTCCACCTGCTGGAAACCGGCGCCAAGAACAGCCAAGATCTACTACATGGTGGGAGGTGCGAGAGCTCGCGCCGATCGGCAAAATTATGAATAAGAAAACGATTTGGCCTCCGAAAGCCCGCTCGGGATGAACAAAAGCCGGTCCGCGCGAGAGAGGCACACCGTTCCCTTTACAGTCGAGGCTGATTCGTAGGTCGACCCTGCCAAACCAAGGGTACCATTGCGTCATGTGTTTCGCCACCCATGCCTTCAACATTCCTGTGGCAATGTTGCCCTCGGCAGGGTCTTGTGTCCTTTCGCCCGCCCTCTCCAATCAACCTCGAATCTACTACCCGCTCTCTTCATAGGGGGCGGGGTCGAAGGGGACTCGTGTTATGATGTTCCAACCTACTCTAGCCTTGATCACCAGGAAGAATTACGAGCACCAGGGAAATACCGAAGCTGGAAGACTTTCACGTGTCGGGCCAAGGGAGGTGATACTCGTGCGACATTGTTTTTCTGTACTTTTTCTGGGCGCTCGAAGTTTCTTGCTGGGATGAGGTCCCTAAGTACGATGGGAGCAACATAAGGCTCGCGACCTGCAGCAATAGGAGGGCGGGGAGCGATTTTTCGGTGTGCGCGTGGTCTGCAGCGGTCGCTGTGCGAGTTCGCCGCTGTGCCGGTCTTCCTGGCGCTGACTTTTCTGGTTGGCCGTTTACGTTCGTCGGCGAGCGTTATTTTTGGAGGCCCCGTATGCCAAGAAACACCCTGCTCGCCTCCAGGGTGCCATTGGTTTCTGGGGTTTCGATGGTTTTGCTGTGAAAAGCGTGACGCTCTCACACCAAAAATCAAAGGACGTATTGGGGTCTCAGGGTTGGGTTTCTTGTGGAAGGTCTCTTGTGGTCTGCGCTCCACTGTAGACGGACTGCGCCGACGCCGGCAAGTTTATATGTTTGGTGTCTCTTGACGACGTTAACGAGCAAGCTGAGTCGTACATGTACCGCTTCTTGCACGCCTTCCGTGTTTTACCCCACCCGCTGGTGCTTCAGTAGAACCCGCCGTTGTTTTTCCTGCAATGTGCGTGTGTGTGTGTGTGTGGTTGTGTGGTTGTGTGTGTGTGTGTGAGTGTGTGAGTGTGTGAGTGTGTGAGTGTGTGAATGTGTGAATGTGTGAATGTGTGAATGTGTGAATGTGTGAATGTGTGAATGTGTGAATGTGTGAATGTGTGAATGTGTGAATGTGTGAATGTGTGAATGTGTGAATGTGTGAATGTGTGAATGTGTGAATGTGTGAATGTGTGAATGTGTGAATGTGTGAATGTGTGAATGTGTGAATGTGTGAATGTGTGAATGTGTGAATGTGTGAATGTGTGAATGTGTGAATGTGTGAATGTGTGAATGTGTGAATGTGTGATGTGTGAATGTGTGTGTGAAATGTGTGAATGTGTGAGTGTGTGAGTGTGTGAGTGTGTGAGTGTGTGAGTGTGTGAGTGTGTGAGTGTGTGTGTGTGTGTGTGAGTGTGTGTGTGTTTGTGTGTTTGTGTGTGTGTTTGTGTGTTTGTGTGTGTGTGTTGTGTTTGTGTTTGTGTTTGTGTTTGTGTTTGTGTTTGTGTTTGTGTGTTTGTGGGTTTGTGGGTTTGTGTGTTTGTGTGTTTGTGTGTTTGTGTGTTTGTGTGTTTGTGTGTTTGTGTGTTTGTGTGTTTGTGTGTTTGTGTGTTTGTGTGTTTGTGTGTTTGTGTGTTTGTGTGTTTGTGTGTTTGTGTGTTTGTGTGTTTGTGTTTGTGTGTGTGTGTTTGTGTGTGTGTGTGTCGCCATGTTCTGAGCCTTGTCCTGTTTCAGCTGCAATTCCACCTGAAATTGCGTTTCGGGACACGTCCCGGGCCTGGTACGTCAGGTCCTCGAGCCAAATTGGGCGTTGATGGTGAATGCCTGTGCTCCCAGTCCCAGACCAAGAGCCAGGAGTTCCGCATAATCCTGGAGTTAGCCAGCTCGGAAGGTGGTTGCATTGAGCTCATGGCGCTCCCAGAAGCCATCAATCATCGCATCATCTGCAATAGACCTGCCCGAAAGCCCGCAGCGACAACAACGACGCTTACAAATCCAAGTCCGCCGTCGGGTTGGAGGTCGCGCGCGCGCTGCGTAGCGAGGGCGCGCCAGTGCTAGCGTACGACGGCCTGAGCTGGCGTGGCTTGGGGAGGAGATGGAGGTGGAGGAGGAGGAGGCGGCGGAGGAGGAGGAGATGTAGGAGGAGGAGGTGGAGGAGGAGGCGGAGGAGGAGGAGGAGGAGGAGGGGGAGTGAGGGAGCTGACGCTGCGAGCCTCCGCTCCCACGGCATGCCCAAGAGAAGGAGAGAGGGAGGCAGGAGGCAGGCGCAGGAGGAGGCAGGAGGCGGCAGGAGGAGCCGTTCGAGCCCCGTGTCGTGCCGCCACCCGCCCGCACTCGGTCGGGAGGCAACGTCATTGAGGACATGTTCACGGTCAATTGCCCATGGCCATGGAAGACCAACGTCGACGGCCAGAGGGGGGGGGCGGGGTGCACCTTTGCTCCTGGACGGGACTGGAGGATCAGGCGGAGGGAGAGAGGAGGAGAGAGGAGGAGGAGGAGGAGGAGGAGGAGGAGGAGAAGGGAATAAAGAGGAGGAGCAGGGGGAGGGGGAGGAGGAGGAATACGAAGAGGAGGAGGAGGAGGAGGAGGAGGAGGAGAAGCAGGAGGATGAGGAGGAGGAATAGCGGTGTGGCGTATTAGGTGCTTGTCTCTCGACCACGCTGCGGGACAGTGCGCGGCGGCAGTGGACACGACTGCGGCTGCGCCAGTGTGGGCGTATTGACAGGAGAAGGTGGTGCGCTGTAAGTCGCCCCGGATCCTGATCCCCTGGCGTCCCCGGATTGTCCCCCGCAGGCATTTCTGGGATCCCTCTGGAGGCTGCCGGAGGCCGAAACGGGTACTCGATCGTTTTCGGCAACATTTTGCATGAGGAGGAGGCGTGGAGGAAGAGGAGGATGAGGAGAGTGAGGAGCGGCTGAACAGCACATGGTCTCATAATTATCCTCGAAGCACCGGGCGACCGCTGGGCGCACAAGAGCTGCTGTAGCCCTGGCGTTATCCAACGAGACTCGAGTCCCCCCCCCAGCAGGCTCAAACCCAGCCGTAGGGACGCCACTGGATAAGTAACGGGTCGAAAAGCCATTACCCCACCGCTCTTACGGTCACTGACGACTCGAAGAACGGTTGGATGATGTGGCGCGCCTGATTGTGGTGCAGCTCGGGAGGGGAGCAGCGAGGCGGAGGGAATGGAGCATTGCTCGCAGCCATCTGTCGTTCCCGCCAGGTGTTTGGGCTCGCCACCACCAGCGGTCCATGACTAAAGGATGGGGCGTCACACACGACCACGGGTTCAGAACCCCTCCAGCAAGCAGGGGACGGGGACGGACCGACGACGCGGGAGACGGTACAAGTGGGACCAGACAGACGCGGGGACGGTAAGGGGCAATGCAGCACAGCAGCAGCAGCGGCAGCAGGAGGGAGGTATAGGTTAAGATGCGGGGTTCCAGATTTTACACTCTGCACATTCACTCAAGGTCGAGGGGCTCGTGGGCGGGAGGTCTGGACCAAAGGATTGCAATTTCCGTCCTCGCTTCCCTCTCCCCGTGCCTCGGCCTCGACCACGCGGGCGCACACGGCCGCTACTCGGGCGGCTGCAGACGCCCGTGTGAATCTCCCTCTGTCGCGCTCGGCCGCGCGGAGGAGAGGAGCTTCCCCGAGGGCGCCGGACGTCTCCCAGGGTCTGTGGAGGTCCCCAGTGGAGCGGAGGCGACGAAATGGGGGCGACGAGCCCCGGGGCGGGCACAGCACGCATTCGCCCGGGAGCCTCGCCGAAGGCAGGGAGCATCGGCGCCCCTGCACACGGGTGCTCTCCCCCTGGAGGAGGAGGAGGAGGAGGAGGAGGAGGAGGAGGAGGAGAGGAGAGGAGGAGGAGGAGGAGGAAGAGGAGGAGGAGGAGGAGGAGGAGGAGGAGGAGGAGGAGGAGGAGGAGGAGGAGGAGGAGATGGAGGAATGGGAGGGGGAGGAGGACGAGGCCTCGGGAGGTCCGAGGCCTCCGGCGGGCTCGGGGCGCCGCGGCCCACCACGGGCGAGCGGCGCTCCGCCGTCGGAGAGGCGCGGCCGCAGCGGGCGGGCCCGGCAGCTGGCAGAGAGGTTGCTCCTCCTCCTCCTCCTCCTCCTCCCCCTCCTCCTTCTCCTTCTCCTCCTCCCTCCTCCCTCCTCCCTCCTCCTCCTCCTCCTCCTCCTCCTCCACCTCGTCTGGAGCCCGCCCGCGGGGCCACGGCTGCGCGAGGTCCCCGGGAGGAGGGGGAGGGGGAGGGGGAGGGGGAGGGGAGGGAGACGCAGTGAGAAGAGGAGGGGGGGGAGGAGGAGGGCAGGAGGGGGGGAGAGAGGGAGGGAGGGAAGGGGAGGGAGGGGGAGGGCGAGGGGGGGGGGGAGGAGGGAAAGAGGGAGGGAGGCAGAGGGAGGAGGTGGAGGATGGAGGATGAGGGTGATGGTAAGGGGATGGAAGACTGTGAGGGGCAGGAGAGGGGAGGAGAGGCAGGAGGGGCAGGAGGGGCATGACCCCCCCCCATCCTGGTCTTTTCCGCCGCCTCTGCGCTAGCGCTGGCCTGCCCGGGGTGCGCCGGAGGTCCCTGGCTGCCTGGTTGGAGCTCGAAGACGGCGCCGCGTCTCGCCGCCACCGCCGTCGGCGGCCGCCGCCGCTGCGGCCGCCGTTTGCGTGGCACCGCACCGTCGCACGACGCGACGACGGCGGGGGCGATCGGCGACGGCGACGGCGACGGCGACGACGAGCGCCGGCGGCGGCGGCGATGACAATGGCGACGGCGATGAACGGCAACGTCGAGCGGCGATGGATGCGGCGATGGCGACGGCGACGAGAACGACGGCGACACGGCGACGGCGGCACGGCCAAGGCCAAGGCGACAGCAATGGCTCCGCGGGTGGAGAAAGGTTGTGCAGAGGCCCTGCCTAGAACTGGAGCCAGGGCGCTGCACCGTGAAAATCGGGCCGGGCGAAAGGGGGGGATTGGGAAAGGGGGGGTTACGAAATTTGCTGCATGCAGCTGGTTTCGGCCTCACCGAGGGGCCCACTCCTCGATACATGGGCGCCTCCGGCGCCGGGAGGCGCCGGGAAAATCAGCTACGTGAGCTGATTCTCAAACCCCCCCTTTGCTATCCCCCCCTTTCGCCCGACCCGACTAGAACTGGAGCCAGGGCGCTGCACCGAGAAAAGGCAGATGGCGCGTCGAGCTTTGGCTGTCCGCGTCCCCTCCCGTTCTTCCCCTGCGTCTCTCTGAAGATTGCTGCGACAGACAGCAGATAAAGAACCAGAGCAGTCGGACCGAGGCATAAGATCGAGAGCGGCTCGGGGAGGGTACCCTAATGTTGTTTGTGTCTGTTGGATGTTCTTGTGCCTCCTGTGGGGAGGCACCCTCGAAACGCCCTTCAGTTTGCGCTGGCGGAGGGTCTCATGTTCTGGATGGATGTTCTTCTGTCCTGGTTCAGACTGCGCTGCGGCGGAAGAGGCTGAAGATCAGAACGAGGACGAGGAGGAGGAGGAGGAGGAGGAGGAGAAGATCCAGAGTTGGCCCAAAATGTATCAGCGATGCCGCATAACAGCCTCTCGTCCCGCGCCCCCGGCTCACCAGTCCCTGCAAGCACGCCGTCTCGCGGCGATTGAAGCGCCCCCGCCGAAGGACGAGCCACCCATGGGCCTGTCGTCCGTGCCGCATGCTGCCAGAATACACGGTATGGAGCGCTGATGCAGACTCTGTTTCGATGGATTCCTTGCGCTGGGCAGGGTCGTATCACGACTTGGTGTGTAGGCGAAACACATAACTCGAAGAAGAAAAGACGGCATGCACATAAGCTTTGGGCACTCCGCGCGGATGTCTTGGATCCGCGCTGGGCTCCCCGGCGACACCTCCGGCGCCGCCCCTGGCGCGCTCCGCGCGGCAGGGAGGGGGGCCCAGCGCGATCCAAGAAATCCGCGCGGACCTCCAAAAGTTTATGCTTACCCATCGGTCGTTGAAAGTAGGTAGTTTGGGATTCCCATATTCCAATCTACTTTGAGCGCCGTCCTACTTCAAGATCGAGTGGCTTCACCTTTTCCGTGCTTCCTAGGGGGCGGACGGAACCCAATATATGTTCAACGCCTCCCTACTTCATGTTTCTACCTACTTCTTCCGACCTATGGGTATGTTGTTTTTTGTTTTCCAGTACGTGCGAAGTATAGAACGGCCTGGTAGCCATTGCAGCTCGGGGCATTGCATGCTCACGATGGCGGCAGAGATCACGTGTCCAATCGCGTCATGGCTTGTGTGTTCTGCGTACGGCTGTGCGACAACCAGACCTCTAACCGATCCAGTTCCCCGCGGGAAGTTCCGCCACCGTGCCAGCCGAGCATTCTGGGTGGCGATTGTTCGAGGGGGCACGGGAGACCGTCACGCGTGGCACTTCGGGTAATCAAGTTTGGGGGAACCGTGATGATGACAATGATGATGATGACGATGACGATGACGATGACGATGACGATGACGATAGCGATGATGATGCTGATGATGACGATGATGATGATGATGATGATGATGATGATGATGATGATGATGATGATGATGATGCTACTGATGATGATGCTGATGAAGATGATGCTGATGCTGCTGATGTTGATGATGATGAGGATGATGATGTTAATGATGATGCTGCTGCTGATGATGATGATGATGATGGTGGTGGTGGTGGTGGTAGTGGTGGTGGTGGTGGTGGTGATGATGATGATGCTGCTGCTGCTGCTGCTGCTGCTGATGATGATGATGATGATGATGATGATGATGATGATGATGATGATGATGATGATGGTGATGGGGAGGGGGGGAGGAGGAGGAGGACGAGCAAGGTGCACAGGCCTCCTGTCCAGGGACTCGGAGACCCGGCGGTAACGCGTCTTCCTCATCCCCGGTTGGTGCGCTGTGACGGGTTGGGGGTAGGCTGCGACGGGTCTGTGCCCCTCCCTGCGCCCTTTCTCCCTCCTCCTCCGTTCCTCTCCTCCTCCCCCCCCTCGCTCTTCTCCTCCCCTGGTCACAGCTCTCGCCGCGGTCCAGTCCCCGCCAGAGTCTTGGGCCTCCAGGATGTGTGTGTGTGTGTGTTTGGAGGGATGAGGGAGGGCATTAGACGCGGCTAGCCCCAACCCCATTCGGGGTGACCCCAGTGGTGCCGCTGGAGAGGTTTGGTCGAGTGCTGCGGTGTTGGAGTTCTCTTGATTGTGCTCGGGTCGGCCATCCTCTGAGCCAACAGATTTGTGGGGCGGCGGGGGTGCACACCCTCCGCGGGATCATTACGCCGCGGAGACGGTGGGATCTCCGGCTCTTTCCTCTGGGAGTGTTGGTTGGGGCGTCAGTGTCGGCCGGGGCTCCAGCTGGGGCGCCAGTGTCAGCTGCGGATCCTGGGGGGGCAGACCAGCGACTCGTTTGGTCAACGCGCGTCGGTGTCTGAGCTATATGTGGCGGCTGCCGTGGCTTGTGTTCCTTCTGGGGGGCCCTAATTACATTCCTGCAGGCACAACTCGGTGCCAGTTACGGGCATTGTGGAGTCGGACTCGTAAGTGCATCCAGTACAGAAGGCGTCTCGTGTCAAAGAGTGCCGTGCCATAAACAGTCTCCGGGTGGGTGTTAATATGCCAGGCGGCGATCCCAGTTCGTCCCTGGGAGCGGTCTACTAGGGGTATATGGATCCGTCGGCGGTTCTAGTGTTCCGCGAGCCGACTTGTCACTGTGAACGGCATGTGCGCCGCCCCCAAGCCCATGCTGCTGGGACATTGTGTGGTGTCGGTCTTTGTCCGTGCCCCACAACACACGCGCTCGTGTTTTCGTGCCCGAGAGACACAGGAGATATGGTTTGGCGGCCCCATGTGCAAGTTTTTGACACGCAACTCTCGTGAAGTGTTCGTTTCGGTGGTGGTAGGTGGGCTGGTCGTGTCGTTTCGTTTCGGTGGTGGTAGGTGGTTTCGTTTCGTGCGTTCGTTTCGATCGGTAGGCCTGGTGTTTGTGCTTCGGGGCCGAGGTGTTTGTGGATGTGACGCGTGTATATCCCCAGGTTTCTGTTCGCCCCTACTAGATCCCAGGTTGCGCCCAGGTTCTGCCCGAGGGCCCTGCCGTGGTTCGCGGCGCACAAGCAGGATGCGGAGGCGGAAGAGGAGGCGGACCAGGGTAAACCCAAGGCGCATCAACGATGTTGAAATCAACCCTTCCTTCAGGTTCCCTCTTGGGCCAGTTTCGCGCTCTCTTGGGGCCGCTCTGGGCTGGTTTGGGCCCCATCAAAGTTTGGGTTCCTTCGGGCCCTGCGGGCGGTCCTCTTGGAGCCTGCTTGCGCGGTCTTCAAGACCTCTTGGGCCGTCCTGTGGCCACCTGGGGCAATCTTGAGGCCGAATTGGGCCGTCGGTTTCGATTCGGTTTCGCCCCCTCCCCCCCCCGCGATGTTGAGATTTCACGGAAATCTGCACGGGGTTCTAATGGGAAGGTGTGGGACTCCTGCGCGGAGCCATCTCCTCGTTGTCTTCCTCCTCCTCCTCCCCCTCCTCTTCCGCCTCCTCATCATCATCACGCTCGTCGTCTTCCTCCTCACGAGACCCCTCCCCAGTCGTCTTCTTCCTCCTCCTCATCATCGTCCTCCTTCTCGCAGTCGGAAGACCCCTCCCCAGTCGTCTTCTTCCTCCTCATCATCATCGTCCTCCTTCTCGCAGTCGGATGCCCCTTTCAGGGCTGGGAAGCATTGAAACCATACCAGTTCCCACAACACCCACATCCTGGGGAACCTGCCGGGGAGAGGGGGGCGGCGAGGGAGTCCCCCAGAAACTTCCCCAAGGTGGTTTGTTGTTTGCGCCCCACGGTTTTCATTGATTACGTCCGATTGGTGGGGGAGGGAGGAAGAGGAGGAGGAGGATAAGGAGGAGGAGGAGGAGGGTGAGAAGGAGGAGGGGGAGCAGAAGCGGGAGGAGGAGGAGGAGGAGGAAGGGGAGGCGGAGGAAGGAGGTGGAATGAAGCGGGCGAGGAGGACGAGGAGGAGGAGAGGAGCAGGAGGCAGCGAAGGCGAGCAGTGTCGACCGAGGCTCAGACAGTCAGCGACGTGCCCGCGACGCCTGGAGTGCTCCGCCCCTGGCATGAGAAACTCCAAGCCAGGGGTGGAGGCATGGCAGCTGTATTAGAAGATGTGTCAGGGAACTGCAGCGGGGGCTGCGTCAAGATGCGTAATCTACATTGTAGCGGGACCCACGCTACAATGCATATTACGTAGTTGGCTGTATCTCCCAATCTAAACTACTCATTGTATTGCTTTTGTGCAGTACAATTGGTTTTCCCAACAACTCTACCAGTATCTGATCACAGAGATGCGTTATCAGTACCAGTGGTTTCAGTTGCAAGCTTCGTGGGTCGGGGGGGGTGGGGGTTAGAACAAACCGGTCGCGAAGGCTCTGCTACTCGATGTGGTTGGACGAGCGAAAACAGCTACGCCGGAATGTGCAATGGGTAATAGGAACGGCAACGGGTGTCCAGGTATGCGTCTGCCTCGCTGCCCCAGTCCAGGGCTTTTGCTTCGGACCTGGCGGGTAGCACGCGGGTGCGTGCATTTGGCAGCCGGCGGCCTGACTGGAGACATCGAGTTGTGGACATTGGCTGGTATTTTTTTGGGGGGAAAAAGGACTGCGCCATCAACTGGAACAGGAATTACAGCAAGAGTCATATCGAACGGTGCGCGAGCGGCTTTACTAGCGATTGCTGTATTGGGCTGTAGTAAGAGTTGTGGAACAAGCCGCTGTCGCAGGGGTTACAGTCGGAGTTGTAGTGGGGTCTGCTGGGGAGCAGCTGTGGGCGTTGTAGCACCGGCTGCAGTAAGAGTTGCAGTGCCGCCTGGCTAAGGAGCTGCAGGTGTAGTACGCGCCCGGCCAGAACATCCGTGAAATCCATTATACGGGCTGCATTGGGAGGTATCGCGAAAACTGTATTGGGATATACGGCACGATGTGTGACATCCGCTGTCGTCGAATCTGCATCAGGAATTGTGGTGGGAGCTTTGCGCATGGCTGTAGTAGGAGTTGTTGCTTGATATGTGGGAACAATTGTTGTACGAGTTCTAGTCGTAGTTGTAGTGCGAGCTGCAGGAGGGGAGGAACAGTTGTGAGGGGACTGCGCGACTGGCTGCGAAAATACTTGCAGTACGACCTGTTTCATGCGCTGTACTAGGGGACAGTGGTAAGAGCTGTGGTGAGAGCTGTGCTGCTGCCTTCTGTGGGAATTGGCAGTGGGGCTGTACCTTTGGCTGTGACAAGGCACTCGAGTAGTAGGAGATGTTTCACCATATGCGGTATACGCTGAGGGAGGGTATGTAGTGAGAGTTGTACGTTGGTGTGTTGTGTCATCGTTTTGTGTTCTCGGTTTGGGTAGCGCAGTGGTCCCCACCTTTTCTCCTCATCCCGCCTCCCCGTCCTCCTGTCTCCTCCTGCGCGGCTCCCTGTGTGGTGGCTGCGAGCGTTCGAAGTGTCCAAGCGGGACCTCGCTGATCCCTAGGAGCTGCGGATTGCGCAGCCGTCGCCTTTTTTTTTCGTGGGCTCCTGGGAGGTCCAGAGGAGCGGAGACACACGCGGGCCCAGGCGGGACCTCGCTGCTCCTTGGGGGGGCTGCGATCTCGATCTGCGCAGCCATCGCCACTTTCGTGGGTTTAGACCAGCGCGGCGAAGGCATACGCGGACCCAGGCGGGACCTCGCTGCTCCCTGCGTGGGGGGGGGGTCTGCGCAATTGTCACCCCTTCCGTGGGCTCTTGGGAGGTCCAGCAGAGTGGAGGTACACGCCAACCCAGGCAGGACCTCGCTGCTCTCTGGGTGGTTGCGGACTGCGCAGTTGACGCCACGTTCGTTGGCTCCTGGGGGGTCCAGCGGGGTGGAGGCACACGCGTACACAGGCTGAACCTCGTTGTTCACTGGGGGGGGGGGGCGGATTGTGCACGTGTCGCAATGTTCTTGAGCTCCCAGGGGTTCCAGCAGAGTCGAGGGCATGCGGACCCAGGCGGGACCTCGTCGCTCCTTGGGGGCTGCGAATTGCGCATTTGTCACAACTTTCGTGGGCTCCTGGGAGGTCCAGCGGGGCTGGGGGCCACGCGGGCCCAGACGGGACCTCGTTGCTCCTCATTGGGGGGAGGGGGGGGGAATTGCGCAATTGTCGCCACGTTCGTGGTCTCCTGGGGGGTCCAGCGGGGTCGGAGGCACCCAGGCGGGACCTCGCTGCTCCGTGGGGGGCTGCGGACTGCGCAACTGTCACCACTTTCGCAGGCTCCTGGGAGGTCCAGCGGGGCGAAGGCACACACGGACCCAGGCGGGACCTCGCTGTTCCCGTGGACGGTTGCGGATTGCACGAGTGTCATCGCTTTCGTGGGCGCCTCGGGGGTCCAGCGGGGTCGGGTGGTACGCGGGGGTTGCTGGGAGGTCCAGCGGAGAGGGGGGCCACAGGGACCCAGACGGGACCTCGTCGCTCCTTGGGTGGCGTCGACATGCTCAAGTGTCCCCATGTTCATCGGCTCCCGGCAGGTCCAGCGGAGTCGGGGGCCACGCGGGCCCTGACGGGTCCTCGCTGCTCCTCGGGTGGTTGGCCTCAGTCAGTGCGCGGCGGTGTTGCATCACAGTTCGCAGGGCGCTGGAGCGTCACGTGCGCATTGCGTTGTCCTCGGTGGCCCATGCCCCCCCCCTCGCCTTCCTCCGTCGCCCGCTGCCTGCGGGGGCAGCGCGGGCGAACCGACGAGATGTAGCGCATGTCGCCATTCCTCTCACCCGTGTTTCTCCGTCCCGTCTTCCCTCGCCATTGTCTTGGCGCTCCTCCCCAGCTCCCTCCGCTTGCTTTTCCTCCTCCACGTGTGTCTCCGGTTCTATGGTGCGCAGGTGTACGACGCCCGACGCGCGTGGCCCGACACTGTATCGCATGCCCGAGTGCCGCATATATCGCAACGTGTTACGTTGCATGGAGCGCTCACATTCGTAGACGCCGCACCTGCAGAAACGGGTTGGGCTCGTCTCGGGGAGATTCTATGCGTTGGTGCCACTCTTTAGTTCGCGGGGAGGGCAACACCGAACCGACACCGTACACCGTGCCGCCCCAGGGCCATGCTGGGCCGTTTGGAGGCATCTTGGCCCCGGCGGCACCATCTCCATAAGCTTGTTCAGTGCGCGGCCGCCTCGAGAGCGCACACTTGCCGTATGTCGCGCGGGAGTGTCGCCTCGGGGGGGCGACCCTGCCGTGCGTGACTAACGATCGTGGCCGCTGGGGTGCGAGCGCGTCGAGTGTTGCAAAGGATGTGTGGTTTCGGGGGAGGGGGCGGCGCGGGCGGGGCAGCGTGGGGAGAGGGCGGGGGGGCCCTAGAAGATGGCATTAATCTTGCCAGGTAGCACTTGGCATCCTCGCTCGCGCGCCTCAGCGTGCCAGGATGCACGGTGGCTGCGTCTCTGAGGCTCGAACACCGTGTGTGCACGAGGGATTCCTGAACTTCTCATCGTATGCGGAATCACTGCAGACGTGGTTCGCCGTCGTCCTCGCCGCCGTCGCCGCAGTGCCCGTCGTCGTGATGCGTTGTCGTCGTTCGTCGTCGTCGTCGTCCTGGCCGTCGTCCTTCACTCTGCTTCCGCAGGGGAAGCGGCGCCTGAACTTGTACACCTGCAACATGACAATGTTCTACCAGCCCGAGCGGCTGGGAGTTATGCGCGAGATCGGTTTTGGTCAGGCGCCCGCGGGGGGTGGGGGTGGGGAGGGCATGGTCTCGTGTAAGGCCTCGGTCTCGTCGTGGCAGTCGTCGTCCTCACCAGTCCAGCGGCAGGTGTAGGACGAGGAAGGAGGTGGATGGGGAGGATGAGGATGAGGAGTCAGTTCGTGATGGGGGGACCAATGAGGATGATCAGCAGGAGAGGAGGGGGAGGATAAGGAGGATTAGCGATACGGTTGGGCGTGGCAAGAGAGGCGTGAGGAATAGCGGGGGGGACGTTGGGACGTGGAGCAGTAGGGATTGTGGAAGGGGGGTCGGGGGACGGTAGAGGATACGGTTGGTAACGGGGAGCAGCCATGTGTCGCCGATCAAATACGAGTTGCGGGAGGAGGGGGGCGTGGAAGAGCAGCGGTTGCAGTAGTATGGGCACGGTTGGTAGCCTGATAATGATGGTAATGATGACGATGGTGATTCGACGGAGGATGAGGAATACGAAACCGTGGAGGAGAAAGTGGAGCAGGAGGAGGCTGGAATGGAATCGGGAGGAGTAGGCGTAGGCGGGGGAGGTGGACGGGGATGGGGACGAGTGTGCGGGAGAGCGTGACATGAGGAGGGGCGTGGACGACGCAGGCGGATGAGGGGCAGGGCGGGGTGGAGCAGAGAAAGCTTGTAAAGCAAGAGAAGGGGGCCTTACATAGCCAGGTTGGCTCAGGCTCTTCCTCTCCACTTGCCCCTCCCATCCTCGTCAACGCCCTCTTTTCCTCCTCCCGTGCCGTTCCTCCACTCGCTCCTGGTGGTTGGCCTCGTCCATGTCCTCTCCCTCATGGTCCTCCTCGTCTGGTTGGCTTCCGGTTGCTTGCGGCAAACCCTGGCACCGTGCTTGTGCAACAACGCAGCAGAAAGGAGGTTGAATGTAGGAACAGCGCGATTCCGACGAGTAGCTTGCATTGGGGCGGGTCGTGATCCCGACATCGTTTTCGTCCGCGCGGTATGGAGGAGGAGGAGGAGGAGGAGGAGGAGGAGGAGGAGGAGGAGGAGGAGGGGAGGGAGAAAATGAGAGAGGGAGAATGCTTATTGGGGACTTCTGGGGGCCTCCTGTGAGTTTCCTGGAAGCTTCTTGAGGGCTTCTCAGGGGCCTCATGGGGCCCTTTTGGGGGGCCTATTGGGACCTCGTGGGCCGTTTCAGGGGACACTTGGCCCGTCTGGCCCTCATGGAGGCCGCCTTGGGGGCCTATCTAGGTCGCGTTGGTGCCCTCTTGGAGCGGTTCACGGCCATCTTGGGACCTTCTTGGGAACTTTTCAGGGGATCGTCCGGTCCTCTTGGGCCGATTTCGTGCCCTCTTTGGAGCCTATTGGAGCTACATTGGAAGCCTTTCGAGCCGCCTTGGGCGGTCGGAAATCCAAACAGCTGAGAAACTCAAAATTCTTCAACCACCCAAGGTACATCAATGGTTTTGGCCCCAGGGTTGCCCCAGGTGAGCCCACGAGGGCCCAACGAGCGCCCAACGGGCCCCCAAGATGGCCCCACGACGGCCTTGCAGCGCTCAAAGGGACCAGAAACGCCTTGGGTGGCCTTGGGCGGTCCGAAACCCCAATTCGCCAGAACCTCAAAACCCTTCAAACACTTGAGGCAAACCACTGGTGTTGGCCTGACCAGGCTCTCCAGGGGGGTCTCTTGGAGGCCTCTTGGGCCGTTTGGGGTATTTCTTGACCTGCCTTGAGGCTGGCTTTGGAGCCTCTTGAGCCGTCTTGGCCACCTTGGCGTCAGCTTGGCTGCCTTGAAAGCCGTCCTGGAGGCCATGAGGCTCCTTCGAAGGCCTCAAGACAGATCAAGAGGCCACCAAGATGGGCCAAGAGGTCACCAAGAGGCCCTCCAGGAGAGCCCGAGGAGGCCAATACCATTAGTTTGCCTCAGGTGTTTGAAGCGTTTTGAAGTTCTGGCAAGTTTGGGTTTCGGACCGCCCAAGGCCGCCCAAGAGGCCGCTCTGCACCGTCTTGCTGGTCCTTTGAGCGCTGCAAGGCCGTCGTGGGGCCCCTTTGGGGGCCCCTGGGGCTCTCGTTGGGCCCTCGGGGGCTCACCTGGGGCCATGCTGGGAGCCGCTTGGATTGCCTTGGAGCTGTCTTGGGCGCCTCTTGGAGGCCTCTTGGGCAGTCTTGGGCGGTCGGAAGCCAGAGCAAGCGAGAGCCTCGAAACCTTGCAAACACTGCACATCAATTGTTTGAGCCCCCTCGGGCTCTCCAGGCGGGGCCTCGTGGAGCCCCCTCGGACCTTTTTGGGCGCCTCTTTTGGGCCATCTTGAGGCCCTCGTGGTAGCCTCTTGGGCTGTCTTGAGGCTGTTGTCCGAGGTTCTTTTAGCTGGGCCATCTTGAGCTGTTGTGTTGTCGTCTCGGCTGTCTTGGAAGCCCTTTTGGTGGCCAACTTGACCATCGGAAGGCCGAAAAGACCACCAGGATGTAATTTCAGAGGGGGCGGTGTTCGTGGGATGCGCGCGGCGAGGGGAGAACTTCTTTGACATGCTACATAACCTCACCGACAATCCAGAGAACCTAACGCGTTCGAGCATGCCCACCCCATGCAGGCACAGTCGCGGATGCTCTCTTGCGTGTTGCCGTTAACGCGCCTGCTTCTGGTCTTGTTCATCTTGCTTGTGCTGTTCCTCACCTCCGCCCCCTCCGCCCGCTTCTCCTCATGACCAGCTTCAGTTGTAAAGTTGTGCCCCTGTCCAGTGCCACAGTGCCACATCAACAGTTTGGGTCAAGCCACGCGGAAGCCGTGTTTCTTGCGACCTTGTGACCGTTTCGCCATCTCGTTGCACTGCCACGTCAGTCGACAGGGTGCCGCCGCGAACGGCTCGGCCAAAACAACTTACACCTTGTCGGAAGAATTTCCCAAACGCCATATTTCAATTGCAACCAACTCACCAGTTACCACAGATCATACGGGAGACCATGCAGGAGACACCTACGGGGGACACCCTACGGGAAACACCATCCTTGAGTACGGGAGACACCAGACGGGAGGCACCATACGGGCGACACCATAGGGGAGACAGCATAAGGGAGATATCATGCGGCGGACACCATGCGGGGGAGACCACACAAAGGAGACCATGTAAAGGAGACGACACGGGAAACAATCTGGGATGCCATACGGCAGACCAGACGGGAGACCGCGAGCCACCGATCGCGGATCTTGAGAGATTCGCACCAAACCATAGACGAAATAGATAAGACCATCAGAGACAGGGTGTTTAGGAATCTGCGCCGCTGTTGCCGGGGCATGGGGTAACAATTCACACCGGCTTCGGCGCTCTGGCCTGGCACAGTCCAGTCCGCAGCGGCGTGGTCCATCACATTGCACAGCATTGCGACGCCGCTTGCCTGCTGGCACAGCGCATAACGCTCATGTTCGTCCGAGGCCGAAGGGAGGGCCTGACCAATGTGGATCGTCTTGCCGACGGAGGACACGCCAAAGGCCGAAGTGGGGGGTCAGATTTCCCCAGGAGACCGAGGACTGGATCGGAGACGTGATGCTTGACTTGTCGTCCGAGGGCTCCTCCCCGAACGCAGAAGCCGAGGGGAGGCCCCCCAGGCCGAACGCATTCTGTTGCACCGGCGCGCAGGCACTGGCAGCGTGCACGGGCGCTGAGCACTGGGGATGCGATACATGGAGGGGGTGACGGAGGAGGAGGAGGAGGAGGAGGAGGAGGAGGAGGAGGATCGAGGAGGAGGAGGAGGAGGAGGTGCCATTCTGTTGTGCCCCGAGAGGGGCCCTACATGGGTCCCCCGGGGCCCCAAAGGAACACGCCAGGCGCACTTTTCTCTCGCTTCCCGCCCCCATGGATCGCCCGCCACTGCCCATCGGTCGGTGAAATTACGTATCTTGGGAATAACAGATTTCAATATACTTTAAGCTTTAAGCGCCTTCTTACTTCAATGATCGAATGGCTTCCCCTTTTGCCGAGGGGGCGGGCGGACACCCAATCTACTTTCAGCGCTTTCCTACTTCATATTTCTACCTACTTCTTCCGACCGATGGGTAAGGAACGCCCGACGTGCACTGGGGCCAAGGGGCTCGTCGCGTCTGAAGAAACAGCGCGCAGGGCAGCCTGAAGGGGCCTACAGGGGCCCCCCGGGGCCCCAAATGGACACGACAGGCGCACTTCTCTCTCCCCCCCCTTTGTGTCGGCCGCACGCAGAGGGGGGGTAGGGGGGAGGGGGGAAGGCTTCTTACAGGCACCCCTGCTTCTCAGAAGGCGCGGGCCTTGTCTGTGGACGTAAGGCCCGCGCGCGCCTTCTAAGAAGCAGCCTTCTTCTGAGAAGCCCTCCCCCCTTCACCTTGCCCCCCTCTGCACGCCGCCGATTCTGACCGCCTCCAGTCGCGAACGCCCGACGTTCACTGGGGCCACCGGGCTCGTCGCGCCCGAAGAAACGGCGCGCAGGGCAGAGTCGGCGTGCCTCGGCGCAGGGACTGCCGCTCCCGGAGCGGGCGGGGCTCTGGCTCGGGCTGGACCGGCAGAGTCGGATTTAGGCGTCGGCCGCCCCGATTGCGGACCGCCCCGGTGCCCTGCCTCGAAGCCCTCCGCGGCTGCTCGCAGCCGCTCTCCTCCTTCTCCTCCTCCGTTCCTGCTCCTTGTAGATAACTCCCCCCTGTCGGACCCCGAGGCCAGTTTTTAGGGCGGGCCGGGCGTTTCGCCTGAGACTTCCTCACCACTTATGATTCTGAAGCTTAAAAACGGTAGCGGTTTCACAGATGGAGGGCGGGCCGTTTTTTTTAATGTGGCTCTCGTCTCAGCGCCGCGCATATTCGCATTTTCTTAAACAGAAAATCCCAGAGCTTCACGGATTGAGGGCGGGTGGTTTTCAAAATGTGGTTTTCGCCTGGGCGCCGCGCACATCCGTGTTCAAAATTTGCAAGAGTTTCCAGATTGAGGGCGGGTCGGGTTGTTTTCAAAACATGTGGTTCTCGCCTTGGCGCCGCGCATATCCGCTTTAAAATTTGCAAGGGCTTCACGGATCGAGAGTGGCTCTTTTTCAAAATGTTGTTCTCGCTTCAGCGCCGCGCACATCCGTTTTAATATTTGCCAGAGTTTCACTGATTGAGGGCGGGTCGTTTTCAAAATGTGGCTCTCGCCTTAGCGCCGCGCAAATTCGTTTTTCCCCAATCAGTGCTTGCACTGAAGGGGTCCTAGCGGATATTGAAAGATTTGGCGAACGGATATTGGCTGGCTGGCTGGCTGGGTTCCCGGGTTCCCGGTTCCGGGTTCCCGGGTTCATGGTTATTGGTTCTGGGTTGATTTCGGTGGGTTCAGGGTTCCCGGGTTCCCGGTCGATCTCTTTATCGATCTCTTGATCGATCCCACGATTCATCAAACCATCGAATGATTGGGGGTTTTCTCTGGTGTTATTAGATTTACAAGTGTTTTAAGGATCGAGGGTGGTTCCTATTCAAAATGTGGCTCTCGCTTTAGCGCCCCGCACATACATTCATTAAATTGGTAAGAGTTTCATTGTTCGAGGGTGATTCCTTTTCAAAATGTGACTCTCGCTCCAGCGCCGCGTACACCTTTTTTTATAATTGTAAAAAAACATGTAAGAGATTCACGCGTGCCCGTGATCAACGTACCCGTACCAGAAATTGAGTTTTGGAAGCATTCGGGATTATCTGGGCGCAACAGTTCTGTTGATTCACTGTGTTGAAGTCCCCAAAAAGGGCTTCTGGCACGATTCCGGCTTTGTGATCGTCAAGACGCAGCAGTCAGGTTGATACGTGGCGTTGAACTCCCGAGAACGATGTTGTGGCACGCTTCAGGATAATCAAACTGTTGTCTTCCAACGAGGCCGTTCCCTCAATGGAAATGAACAGTTGTAGGGGCCTATGAAGAGGGAGCTTGGAGGGAGGGTTAATTCCAACATCGTCGATGACTCTTGGGTTCCCACTGGTCCTCCTCCTCCTCCTCCTCCTCATCCTCTTCTCCGGTATTGCCAGGACCCCTCGGGCTGAAGCCCCCCAAATTGGCCAGAATCACTAAACCAGGCTTGCCGCAGCTGCTATGTTTCGGATGACGGCAGTTCCAGTTAGTGGAATTGGGCGGGGGGGGGCGTCACCCAGTAGACATCAACAAACCAGGTCCCACTAAATCCAGTTTTGCCAACGCCCGATCCTTATGTTAATTCACTAGCCCGCTCTCTCCTCCTCCTTCCTGTTTCTTCCTGTGCTTACCACCACTATCGTGTGTCCTTGGTGTGGCCCCTTTCCCTCTCCTTTCCCTCTTCCCCTTCCTCTCCTTTCTCTTCCCCGTGCTATCCCGTCCGCCCATCCCGCTGAAGCAAGCAAGCCCCCGAGGAGTTCGACAACATGGTGCTCGAGACCTGGCAGGACCCAGACATGCAGTCGAGGCCCTCCCCCCCCAGCCATCTGCATTATGCCGGGAGGGGATCGCAGACCTTGGGTGGAACTCCCTGTGGGGCCACGAAACGTTGCCCTGGGTGGGAGACGCATGCGAACACCGCCACGGGGGCCTTCAGTGGAGCTCCCCGTGGGGCCACGAAACGCTGTCCTGGGTGGGAGAGACATGTGAACACCGCCACTGGGGCCGTAGGTGAAGCTCCCTGTGGGGCCACGGAGCGCTGTATTGGGTGGGGGGAACCGCATACGAACACCGCCGTTGGGGCCGTAGGTGGAGCGCCCTGTGGGGCCGCGAAACGCTGTGCTGGGTGGGGGAGACACATGTGAGCACCACCACTGGGGCCGTAGGTGGACCTCCCTGTGGGGCCACGAAGCGCTGTCTTGGGTGGGGGAGACGCAAACGAACACCGCCATTGGGGCCGTAGATGGAGCTCCCTGTGGGGCCACGAAACGCTGTCCTGGGTGGGGGACACACATGTGCACACCGCCACTGGGGCCGTAGGTGGAGCTCCCTGTGGGGCCACGGAACGCCGTATTGTGTGGGGGGAACGCGTACGAATACTTCCATTGGGGCCGTAGGTGGAACTCCTTGTGGGGCCTCGAAGCGCTGCCTTGGGGTGGGAGACGCATGTGACCACCGCCACGGTGGCCTTCAGTGGAGCTCCCCGTGGGGCCACGAAACGCTGTCCTGGGCGGGGGAAGCACATGTGAACACCGCCATTGGGGCTGTAGGTGGAGCTCCCTGTGGGGCCACGAAGCGCTGTACTGGGTGGGGGGAACCGCATACGAACACCGCCGTTGGGGCCGTAGGTGGAGCGCCCTGTGGGGCCGCGAAACGCTGTCCGGGGTGGGGGTGACACATGTGAACACCGCCACTGGGGCCGTAGGTAGAGCTCCCCGTGGGGCCACAAAAGCGCTGTCTTGGGTGGGGGCAACGCATACGAACACCGCCATTGGGGCTGTAGGTGGAGCTCCCCGTGGGGCCACGAAGCGCAGGCCTGGGTGGGGGAGGCGCATGCGAACACCGCCACAAGGACCTTAGGTGGAGCTCGATGTGGGGCCGCGAAACGCTGTACTGCGTTGGGGAGACGCATGCGAATACCGCCACTGGGACCTCAGGTGGAGCCCCCTTTGTGGCCTCGAAACGTTGTCCTGGGTGGGGGAGACGCATGCGAACACCGCCATTGAGACCTTCGATGGGGCTCCATGTGGGGCCACGAAACGTGTAACGGGTGTTGCGAAATTGGTGGCGATGATGGTGACGATCACGGTGGTGATCATGACTTCGATGATGATAATGACGATGGCATGGCGACCACGATGATGATGAGGATGCTGATGCTGATGATGATGACGACGACGACGACGACATGCGCAGGGCAGAGGCAGGGATGGGAGGAGAGAGGAGGGGGAGGAGGAACGAAGGAAGGACGGAAGGAAGGAAGGAACGCGGGGACGGTCTCTTCAAAACGAGGACCCAACACCACAGGATGGTTGGGAAAAAAAGGAGGATCAAGAGGGAGAGGATTTGGTGGGGGGAGGGAATATTAGCCCTCCGCCCCTCCCGCCTTCTCCTTCTTTCTCGATTGCCACCTCGTTCTCCCCCTCTTCCTCCTCTCCCGTACCCTCTCCCCATTCCGACTCGATCGTTGGCAGCCGTGGTCCGTTCGTTTCTGACGGTGCGGTCATTTCCCTCGTGTCAATCTGTGTGTGTAAATGTCTGTGCGAGCGGAAGAACATATACCTCCGACCTTTGGTTCGGATGCCGATGGGGGCGCACCTCGGGATTGAAGGTCCTTCCCTCCCTCCTTGCCCCCCTTTATCTTTCCTCCATCCTCTGGGGAAGACAGCGGGCGGAGGATCCAGGGGGGAGGGGGGGGGGGGGAGAACCACGGGGCGAGTGCAGGTCCGGATCGGGAGGGGACGGCACCAAGGGGGGGGCGGGGCGGGGCACTCCGTGTCCCCTCGCCCTCCGACGACGACGACAGCGACAACGACGACCACGACTTTGCCGACGGCCACGACGAAGTCGATCACGGCGACGGCCACCACGACGACGACCACGACGGCGACGACGACCGCGATGTTGTCGACGGCTGTGGCGACGGCCGCGACGAACGCGACCACGACGACGACTGCGGCGACGAGCTCGATAAGCACGATGACGACGACCTCGACGAACATGATCACGACGACCTCGACGAAAGCGATCGATATCCGCAAGTGCTTCGCACCCTGCCGCCGGCCCCCTCTCTATCTTAGTGGGATCTATCAGAGTCGTGTCGGTGGGTCTTGGCGCTGCCTTGGCGAATCTGGGAACACCATGCGGGGGCGGATAGGAATCATCAGCGCGTATTGGGACTTTGGCGTTATCGAAGACGCCTACGGCGAACCACCGCCGCCCCCTGCCTTTTTGGAAGTGCCTATGTGGCCGAACGTTGAGGCCAGACCTGCCAAGATATCGGACCATGTGTTTCCCGAATCGGTTTGGAAAGCCTTCGGGGAACACGTGGGCATCTTGAAGGTCATCTTGGCCGTCGGGAGGTCATTTTGACCCTTTCGGGCCTTCTTGGAGGACGTCTTGGAGGGCTCTTGGGCCGTCTTGGAGGCCATCTTGAGCGTCTTGGAGGCCTCTTGGGCCGTCTTGGGGGCCTCTTGGGGCCGTCGTGGGTACGTCTTGGGCGATCTTTGGGGGTTCTTGGGCCGTCTCGGGTCGTCGGAAGGCAGAAATTATCCCAGTGCGACCCTACCTAGGAGTTGGAACCCATAGGAAAGCAGCATTAGTAGTAACAGTAACGCTAAGCTAAAGCTAAGCCACAGCTAAGCTAAAGCTAAGCTAAAGCTAAGCTAAAGCTAAGCTAAAGCTGAGCAACACCTAAGCTAAAGCTAAGCTACAGCTAAGCTACAGCTAAGCTAAAGCTAAGCTAAAGCTAAGCTACAGTTAAGCTCAAGCTAAGCTCAAGCTAAGCTAAAGCTAAGCTACAGCTAAGCTAAAGCTAAGCTAAACGCTAAGCGAACAGCTAAGCGAAACGCTAAGCGAAACGCTAAGCGAAAGCTAAGCTACAGCTAAGCTAAAGCTAAGCTAAAGCTAAAGCTAAAGCTCCCAGGGGACTGGGGGGAACCGCTCCCAGGGGACTGTGGGAACCGCCCGGGGCGCTTTGCACTGCCCGGCCCCTTTAAGCTAAGAGAGTAAGAACCCTTCTAGGCAGAGCTTAGGTAGGGAAAAAAGCAAATGCCATAATCCTTCAACAACTCATGGGAACTCAATGGTATTGGCCTTTTCGGGCCTTCCTGGAGGCCATCTTGGAGGCCTCTTGGGCCGTCTTAGGCCATCTTAGGGCCATGTTCGGCCGTCTTGGTGGGCTCCTGGCCCGTCTGACGCCGTCGGAAGACGTTTGGGGGGCCTCTCTGGGCCCACTTTGGGCCCTCTTGGAATGCTCCAGGGCCGTCTTCGAGGCCATCTTGGGCGTCTTAAAGGCCTCCTGGGCCATCTTGGGGGCCTCTTGGGATCGTCTTGGGGGCCTCTTGGGCCCTTCTGGGGCCATCTTGGAAGCCTCTTAGACGATCTTTGGGCGATCCTTGGGGGCTCTTGGGCCGTCTCGGGCCGTCGGAAGGCCGAAAAGAAACACATGTCAAAACATTCAAACACTTAAGGAAACTCAGTGTTTTTGGCTTTTTTTCTGGCTTCCCGGAGGCCTTCTTGGAGGCCTCTTGGGCCGTCTTGGGCCAGTTTCGAGCCAACATCGGCTATCTTGGTGGGTTCCTGGCCCGTCTGACGCTGTCGGGAGCTGTCTTGGGGGCCTCTCTGAACCGACTTGGGGTTCTCTTGGGGCGCTTTGGGGCTGTCTTGGAGGCCATATTGGGCGTCTTGGAGGTCTCTTGGGCCGTCTTGGGGCCCTCTTGGGGCCGTCTTGGAGGCCTCTTGGGCCGTCATGGGGCCCTCTCGGAGGCCTCGTGGGCGATCTTGGGGCGATCTTGGCGGCCTTTGGCCGTCTTGAGCCGTCGGAAGGCCGAACAGAAGCAAATGTCAAAATCGTTCAAAACCCTACGGAAAATCAATGATTTTGGCCGTCTCTTCGGGCCCTCCTTGAGGACCTCTTGGAGGCCTCTTGGGTCGTCTTGGGCCGTCTTGGAGGCCTCTTGGGCGAATGTGGAGGCATCTTCGACTCTCTTGGGCCATCTTGGGGGCCGTCTTGGACCATCTTGGGCGGACTTGGAGGCTATCTTGGACCATCCTGAAGGCCATCTTGTGACAACGTGGCCATCTTGGAGGCCACCTTGGGTCATCTTGGAGGTTTGTTCCCCGGATTGAGGTCCTTGGGAATCTTTCAGGGTGGCCGGCGGGACGGGCCGAAGCCCCAGGGGGAGTTCTTTTGGAAAAAGAACTACAACCAAAAGCCATCTCATTTGGCACGCCAGGCACCCCTTGGATAAATGAAAAGGGGGCGGCGGATCCGAGTGACCTTCGGCCCATCCCGCCACCGTGCCTGGGTTGTAGATCTGAGGCCTCTTGTATACGTGTTGGGGTGTCGTGGTGAGCCTCTCGGTGGCCTTTTTGAGGCGGTTTGGGAGCCTCTTGGGGGCCTCTTGGGGCCTCGTGTGGTATCGTTTGGGCCTCTCGGAGGCCTCTCGGGCGCGTCTTGGGCGCGTCTCGTGGCCTCTTGAGGCCTCTGGCGGGCTTCTTGGGGCCTCCTGGGGGCTTCTCGGGGCATAAATATCGAACGTTCGGTTAGTATTCCCCTGCTTGGGCCCCTCTTGGGGCCGTCTTGGGGCCCTCTTGGGCCGTCGTGGGCGCTTCTCGGGCCATCTGGTAGCCCTCTTGTGCCGTCTTGGGGCCCTCTTGGAGGCGTCTTGGGCGGTCTTGGGAGCTTCTGGAGCCGCCCTGGAGCGTCGGGAAGCAGAAAAGGCGTCGTAGCATCTACGATTTTGGCCTCTTGGGGCTCTCCCGGGAGGCCTCTTGGAGAGCTTTTGGGTCCTCTTTGGGCCCTTTGGGGCCGTCTTGGAACCATCTTCGGGCGCCCTGGAGCACTGTTGGCCTCGATAGTGCGAATCCGGCGAAGTGTGCAAAGGTTTATGGCTTCCGGACGCTATTTTTGCGTAACTTGCAAGGGTGTGTTGTCTCGGGGACGCGAATATCGTGTCATTGACGATGGTGTGTTGCCCAGGGAATGCATACGTGGAGTAAGTTCCCAGAGATGCTGGTCTCGGGGGCGCGAACATGGCGTAATTCGCAAAAGGGATTAGACTTCGGTGGCGAGTGTCTCACGTCGGACCTGCGTTTTCAGCCTACGTGTTGAGCTCCGTATCAATCACCACCCACCAAACCACCCCAACCCAACCCGAAGGCTCAAATTTACCCTCGATTTCCAGTGGGGGCGGGGTCGGGAAACATCGAAAAAACACATGTGGAACCCTTACCCCCCCCAACCCGAAATTCGGGTCTTCGGGTTGGGTTGGGGTGGTCTGGTAGGTAGTCAATGTATACGATGCGTGTTGCGTGTTGCGCATCGGGGCAGCTGCGCCACTACGGTCACGGTGCCTTGCGGCGGTGACTGCCGCCGCACGCGCGGCGAGCGACGCTCGCAGGACCGGGTACGACTACACGCGGGCCCTGCAGTTCCAGTGCGCTCGCCTCGGGGCGCGCCGCGGCGGCGAGGCGGTGGTTGGAGGAGGCGGAGGGTCGGGTAACCGCGGGGGGTCTTGAATGATGCACCGCCCCCCCTAAAGCTCGGCGGGGAATAGAAACTCGTCCCTCCTCCTCGTGGTGCATGTTCCAGTGCGCGCAGCAGCGGCGGCGGTGGTGTGTCGGAGAGGAGGAGGAGGAGGCGGAGGAGGTGGAGGAGGAGACGGCCAGGCGATGAGAGATGGGATTTTTGAGCACCTCTCATGACCTCTCATGCATCCGCCGACGAGAGTGATTGATTTCCATCTATTGTCGGGGTCCCAATCCGTCAATAAGCCGGCGGACAAATCAATTATTTTCCCATTATTGCCCGGGGGTTTATTAAAGACCTTTGGGGGTTACCGCAGGGGGATGGAGGGAGGAGGAGCGTGTGTGTGCTTAGCTGCCTCGATACGCCCGTTCTGAAATGCAACACGACACGCACCGTGCTTAGAACGCCCGGGCCAACCAGTGCGTTGCGTGCTGACTCAGCGTACTGGCCCACGTGTTTCCCCGGCCAGGTCTAGACGAGCTCCCTCGGGGAGAGAGTAGACCACCCCCAAGAGATGGTTCAAGTCGTGGCACGGACTGCTCCCCCATTCGAACAGCCCCGCGCTGGACGTGCTGCTACAGCGTCTGGTGCACGAGTAGCTGTCCTTATTGAGGGCATGTATGTGCTAAGAACAGGTTTGAGATGGGCCAGGGGCGAGAGGAGGAGGCGGAGCAGGAGGAGGAGGAGGAGGAGGACAAGAGGGAGCATGAGTTGCGCCACAGAGATTGCTCAGGTGTCAGCGTGGACGACAAGGTGACGTTCACGGGCATCAATTTCCTTTCACGCGAGCCCATCGTCTCTCAGCCGATGCTGCAGGACCACGACACGATCCACGGGATGAGTAGACGGAGGAAGAGACGGAGGCGGTGGCGGAAGATATTAGGACCAATACGGGTTGATTGGGAGTAGGGGGCACAGGGCCGTGCAACTTCGCGACACCCTCTGGGCCTCCAGCGCCCAGCCATCGTTCGCACCGCGCAGTGTGGGGAGTCGAGTGTAACACGCTTGTTCTTCGGAGGGGGCTCGGCTTTCCTCGTGTTTTCACCCATGGCCCCAGCGGGAAGCCTCGACCCAGCTTCGGGAAGAAGGGGTGTCGTAAGTCCAAGACGGAGGAGAACATGGCGACGTCGGAGGAGGAGGCGGCGGAGGAGCAGGAGAAGCGACAGGGAGAAGGAGGTCAGCGCGGACCTCCGACAATGTTTTTCATTATCTTGTTTCTTCTCCTTCCAGGAGAACCGCCTCGGTCGACGATTCGCTTTCCTCGAGCGTGACCTTGGCGGTGTCCCTCGTAACCTCTGCGTGCGCGACTCGGCCGGCCCTGGTGACTCATCCGTCCCAGCTCACGTGGTCATAGCAGGAATTTGCAGTCTTCGTTATCTTCGTCGTCCTCATCCTTATCCCCCTCGTCTTCCTCCTCGTCGTCCTCTTGCCCCCCATCGTCTTCCGTCTTCTCGTTATCCACGACGTCCTCGTCCTCGTCCTCCTCCACCGCCCTCTTGGTCCTCCTCCTCGCCTTCGCTCTTCTCCTCGCTGTGATTCGCCCATCTGGCAATTATTACTCCCGCCCTGGATCCTGACCCCCGGAAGACCCAAAAGCCTCCTTGGGAGAAGTCTGGAGGTCCCCATGGGGCCCGGCAGGCAAGAACGAACAAAGAAACCTCCCCCCACTCGACCCTCGAGGGTCGAGGGTGAACCTGGGCACCCCCCCGTCTCCGCTGGCCTTCGTAGGCTCCAGGAGTCTAGGCCTCCCAGGTGGGGTCGGAGCAGGTGGGGTCGGAGGATCGCGCCGCATCGCAAATGCATCGTTGCCGATGCGGCTCGATGTGGAGCCCGATTTGTTTCACGTCGACGTCGCCGATGCATCGCCGACGTCGACGATGCGTCGCCGGTGCATCCCCGATGTATCGCTGATGCATCGCCGATGCATCGGCGATGCGGCGCGATCCTCCGACCCCATCTGCTCCGATCCCACCTGGGAGGCCTCCAAGGAGGCAGCTGGAGATGCCGGGCTCCTCCCCTTCATGTGGGCTGCTACCAATCAGGAGGGAAAGAAACACACAGACACAATTAATCGTCGACTCCCAGGAAAATATGCAAAAATATGGGAATTGGTGGGGAAGACAAAAACCCAGAAAATATGGGAAAATATTGGGGATATCTTTATTTGTGTGTATTTATTTGTGTGTTCCAGTTCCCCTTCAACCAAGGGGGGAGCAAGCGCGGAGGCGGGGCGATGTCGTGGCAAGGAGGCCTCTCCTCGCGGCAGCCCTCGGGCTGCCGTCCCCTGGGCGCGAACTGATGGGGGGGGGGCGATGGGTGGAGGTGGGGAAGACCGGCGCCCTTTTCGGCCCCCGAATGCCCTCTTCTGGACCCCAAAATTTCGGGGGAGCGTAAGACCCGGGTTTGCCGGGACTCGGGTTCGCCATCGTTTTTTGACGACCGCGGCTCGGATTTTGACGAGGAGGAGTTTCGTGGGATGTCTGCAGCGGGAGGCCTCGTCAAAATGCAGGCTCGGCCTCGCCATTTTTTTGACGACCTCGCCGGGGATTTCCGAGTCCCCCGTACCCGGGTCTTACGTCTCCCCGAAGATGGCTTCTTGTTGGGCCCTCCAGGGCCTCTTCTCTGCAGCCCTCGTCGACCCCCATTAGATCGCCCCCCCGCAGATGGTCTGGTACCGGAAATTTTCGGTAGCGATTTCGACGCACCCCGAATTTCGGTAGCGACCGGATCTTCGTTTGAGGGCGTTGAAATAGCGGATTTCAGAACGCTCTGATACCGGTACTGGGCGCTACATTTCGGTATTTCGGTAGCGACCGATCTCTGCGGAGCGCTACCGGAAATTGTCGGTAGCGGACCATCAGGGCCCCCCACGCATCGAGGCCCGAGCCCCCCCGCAGCGCCCACTCACCGCCCACGGTGGCCGCCGGCCACCTCCCGGGTTCTCCTCGCCGGCCTCCTCGTCGATGGCCTGGCCAGGAGATGTTCGTCAGGGCGCGGGCTCTCGGCCTGGAGCCGTACGGCTCCAACGACATGCACATCGTCAACCACGAGGAGCGCGCGGCCGCCGTCGCCATCGTGGTCAGCGCCGTCGCCGTCGCGGCGGCCGCCGTCGACGTCGTCAACGAGGCCGTCGTCGTCGTCGCTGTGGTTGCTGTTTTTGTTGATGATGTCGATGTTGATGGTGTTGTTGTTGGTGGTGGTGTTGCTGTTGGTGCAGTTGTTGTTGCTGTTGTTGTTGCGGTTGTTGTTGTTGATGTTGTTGTTGTTGCCTTTGTTGTTGTGTTGTTGTTGATATTGCTGGTGTTGGCGTTGGTTGTGTTGTTGTTTTTGTTGATGGTGCCGTTGTTGTTGTCGTTGTTGTTGTGTTGTTGTTGTTGTTGCTGTTGTGGTGTTTGTGTTTGTTGTTGCTGTTGTTGCTGATGCTGTTATTGCTACGGTTGGTGCTGGGATTGTTGTGGTTGTTGTTGTGGTTGTTGATATTGCTAGTGTTGTTGTTGTCGTTTATATGGTTGTTGTTGATGCTTCTGTGTTCGTTGTGGTGGTGTCGTTGTTACTGTTTCGTTGTTTGCTGCTGTTGCTGCTGTTGCTGTTGCTGCTGTTGTTGCTGTTGCTGTGGTTATTGCTGTTGTTGATGTTGCTGTTGTTGTTTTGGAATCAGGTCTAAAGACAGATCATTGTTGATCACCCCCTCTGGTAAACATAGTATGGTTCAATTGAAGTGTTTATCCTGGGGTTTGTATCGGGTTTTTTACCTAACAGCGAAGATTGATAGTTTTCTAATAGGGTCAAAAGAGAGCAAACAACAAACCCCTGATCTTCCGTGAAGTGTTTATCCTGGGGTTTGTATCGGGTTTTTTACCTAACAGGAAGATTGTAGTTTTCTAATAGGGTCAAAAGAGAGCATCATGACTCCACAGGGGGGTCCGGGCGGCTCCGGGACTGGGTCGAATTCGTTTTTCCCAAACAGTCACACGCTTCGTGTTCTTCGACCTCCCAGAACTCCATTCCCGGGCCACATTCTGAATGCCCGGAGCCAACAGTAGGCCACTTCGTGCTCTTCGACTTCCCAGAACTCCATTCCCGGGCCACATTTTGAATGCCCGAGCCAACTGTAGGCCACTTCGTGCTCTTCGACTCCCAGAACTCCATTCCCGGGCCACATTTGAATGCCCGGAGCCAACTGAGGCCACTTCGTGGCTTCGGCTCTGAGGCCAGAAGGCTGAGGCTGAATGAGGCAGGCTGATGCTGAGGCAGGCTGAGGCTGAGGCTGAGGCTGATGCAGGCTGAGGCTGAGGCAGGCTGAGGCTGAGGCCGAGGCTGAAGGCAGACTGAGGCTGAGGCTGAAGCAGGCTGAGGCTGAGGCTGAGGCAGGCTGAGGCTGAGGCTGAGGCTGAGGCTGAGGCAGGCTGAGGCTGAGGCTGTGACTGCGACTGCCGTTGCCACTGCGACTGTCATCGCGAATGCGACTACGACTGCGAGAACAGCAGAATTCTACAATTGGATTCTCATCTGAATCTTAAGGAGAATGCTTCCAGATATGCTCCTACACATCGCTGTTAGGTTGCTTTGCCGGGATAATTTACCTAACAGCGAAGACTGATAGGTTTCTAGTGGGGTCAAAAGAGAGCAGCAGATGACTCCACAGGGGGGTCCGGGCGGCATCCGGGGAGCTGGGTCCCAATTCGTTTTTCGCAAACAGTTACACACTTCGTGCTCTTCGACCTCCCAGAACTCCATTCCCGGGCCACATTTTGAATGCCCGGAGCCAACTGTAGGCCACTTCGTGGTCTTCGAGTTCCCAGAACTCCATTCCCGGGCCACATTTTGGATGCCCGGAGCCAACTGTAGGCCACTTCGTGCTCTTTCCCAGAACTCCATTCCCGGGCCACATTTTGAATGCCCGGAGCCAACTGTAGGCCACTTCGTGCTCTTCGAGTTCCCAGAACTCCATTCCCGGGCCCACATTTTGGATGCCCAGGCTGAGCCAACTGAGGCTGAGGCCAGGCTGAGGCCGAGGCTGAAGGCAGCTGAGGCTGAGGCTGAAGCAGGCTGAGGCTGAGGCTGAGGAGGCTGAGGCTGCAGGCTGAGGCTGAGGCAGGCTGAGGCTGAGGCCGAGGCTGAAGGCAGACTGAGGCTGAGGCTGAAGCAGGCTGAGGCTGAGGCTGAGGCAGGCTGAGGCTGAGGCTGAGGCTGAGGCTGAGGCTGAGGCTGAGGCTGAGGCTGAGGCAGGCTGATGCTGAGGCAGGCTGAGGCTGAGGCTGAGGCTGATGCAGGCTGAGGCTGAGGCAGCTGAGGCTGAGGCCGAGGCTGAAGGCAGGAGGCTGAGGCTGAGGCTGAAGAAGGCTGAGGCTGAGGCTGAGGCTGAGGCTGAGGCTGAGGCTGAGGCAGGCTGGCTGAGGCTGAGGCTGAGGCAGGCTGAGGCTGAGGCAGGCTGAGGCTGAGGCCGAGGCTGAAGGGACTGAGGCTGAGGCTGGCAGGCTGAGGCTGAGGCTGAGGCTGAGGCAGGCTGATGCTGAGGCAGGCTGAGGCTGAGGCTGAGGCTGATGCAGGCTGAGGCTGAGGCAGGCTGAGGCTGAGGCCGAGGCTGAAGGCAGACTGAGGCTGAGGCTGAAGCAGCTGAGGCTGAGGCAGGCTGAGGCTGAGGCTGAGGCAGGCTGATGCTGAGGCTGAGGCTGAGGCTGCAGGCTGAGGCTGAGGCAGGCTGAGGCTGAGGCCGAGGCTGAAGGCAGACTGAGGCTGAGGCTGAGGCTGCTGAGGCTGAGGCTGAGGCTGAGGCTGAGGCTGAGGCTGAGGCTGAGGCAGGCTGAGGCTGCAGGCTGAGGCTGAGGCTGAGGCTGAGGCAGGCTGAGGCTGAGGCTGAGGCTGAGGCTGAGGCAGGCTGAGGCTGCAGGCTGAGGCTGATGCAGGCTGAGGCTGAGGCAGGCTGAGGCTGAGGCTGAGGAGGCTGAGGCTGAAGGCTGAGAGGCTGAGGCTGAGGCTGAAGGCTGAGGCTGAGGCTGAGGCTGAGGCTGAGGCTGAGGCTGATGCAGGCTGAGGCAGGCTGAGGCAGGCTAGGCTGAGGCTGAGGCTGAGGCTGATGCAGGCTGAGGCTGAGGCAGGCTGAGGCTGAGGCCGAGGCTGAAGGCAGACTGAGGCTGAGGCTGAAGCAGGCTGAGGCTGAGGCTGAGGCTGAGGCAGGCTGAGGCTGAGGCTGAGGCAGGCTGATGCTGAGGCAGGCTGAGGCTGAGGCTGAGGCTGAGGCTGAGGCTGCAGGCTGAGGCTGAGGCAGGCTGAGGCTGAGGCCGAGGCTGAAGGCAGACTGAGGCTGAGGCTGAAGCAGGCTGAGGCTGAGGCTGAGGCAGGCTGAGGCTGAGGCTGAGGCAGGCTGATGCTGAGGCAGGCTGAGGCTGAGGCTGAGGCTGATGCAGGCTGAGGCTGAGGCAGGCTGAGGCTGAGGCCGAGGCTGAAGGCAGAGGCTGAGGCTGAGGCTGAGGCTGAAGGCAGGCTGAGGCTGAGGCTGAGGCAGGCTGAGGCTGAGGCAGGCTGAGGCTGAGGCTGAGGCAGGCTGAGGCTGAGGCTGAGGCTGAGGCTGAGGCTGATGCAGGCTGAGGCTGAGGCAGGCTGAGGCTGAGGCCGAGGCTGAAGGCAGACTGAGGCTGAGGCTGAAGCAGGCTGAGGCTGAGGCTGAGGCAGGCTGAGGCTGAGGCTGAGGCAGGCTGATGCTGAGGCAGGCTGAGGCTCAGGCTGAGGCTGATGCAGGCTGAGGCTGAGGCAGGCTGAGGCTGAGGCCGAGGCTGAAGGCAGACTGATGCTGAGGCTGAAGCAGGCTGAGGCTGAGGCTGAGGCAGGCTGAGGCTGAGGCAGGCTGAGGCTGAGGCTGAGGCAGGCTGAGGCTGAGGCTGTGACTGCGACTGCCGTTGCCACTGCAACTGTCGTAGTGAATTCGACTACGACTGCGAGAACAGCAGAATTCTACAACTGGCTTATCATCCGAATCTGTGTGTGAATCCCCCTACTTTCCTCCTATCTTGCTCATATCCATCGCCCCTTTTGGCTCAAGGTACTCGTACACAGAGGGTGAAGAGGACAACTTCCATCATCCTCATCACGTCTACCTACGGACACTTTGGGGGTGGGTTCGGTCCTTCGGTCCCCCTCCCCCTCACACAGGTTATCAGCCGACTCTGTTCAAAACGCAATCGCTCCAACTTCCGCGCTTCCTGAGCCCCCCACTCAGTCGCGATGGAGGGCGGTGCGCCTCTCGGCCCCGCGCCTCTTCGCGACGGCGTGGCGGACCCCGTGGCGCGCAACTTGGAGCAGGAGATTGAAGTTTTGATGGACGTGCATGGCATCCCGCGAGCTGATCGTGTGGCCATTTCTCCAGGTACTGAGGGTCTTGACGCTGGACAAGGACACGCTCCTGGTACTCCTCAGTTCCAGGCCCCTTCCTCGTCGTCAGTCGTTCATCCCGTCGCGTCGCCCGTCGTGTCGGATGCAGCGGGAGACCGCAGCTCGGGTGCTGCGCAGCATCTCTTTCAGAGCGCTGAGGTCCTCGTGCCACGGAATGATCCGCCCAGAAATGCTGTCAGAGCGAGACACCCTGTGGCTCCTGGAGTTCCTCAGCTCCAGACTCCTCAACCTCCTCAAAATCTGACCCCGACTTTTCGGGCCCCTGCTGGGGGGGCCCACTCGGAGGCTCTTTCGCCTCCACAGGGAAGTCCCGTGCAGAGAGGCTCTGGAGGATCTCGCCGCTGGGGCGGGAGTCACGCGAACGCCGGCGCGCCAGGACGGAACCCAGTCACCCGTGCCGTGACGCCAGTCCGAGAGCACGTCCGCGCCCTCGAGTTTCGTGCTCAGACCCGCGACGGCGCAGCCTTCGCCGGTCGTCAAGTCACTGTTTCTCGTTCTCGCGCAGCTTCGCCTCGTGACAGACGTGGCCCCGAACAGTTCCAGATTGCAGCCCAGGATTTGCACAGCCGCAGTCCCTCCCAGAGGGCACGAAGACGCGCTGTCAGCTCACCTGTGGCTGCGCCTGCCGCCGTCCCCCTAACAGATATGGCTGAGCTAAGAGA